GTAGGCATTCAATAACCCATTGTGGTTGATATGCCGTAAAACAAAACAAACCAAACCAATTGTAGGCATTCAATAACCCATTGTGGTTGATATGCCGTAAAAAACAAAACAAACCAAACCAATTGTAGGCATTCAATAACCCATTGTGGTTGATATGCCGTAAAACAAAACAAACCAAACCAATTGTTGGCATTCAATAACCCATTGTGGTTGATATGCCGTAAAAAAAAAAACAAACCAAACCAATTGTAGGCATTCAATAACCCATTGTGGTTGATATGCCGTAAAACAAAACAAACCAAACCAATTGTAGGCATTCAATAACCCATTGTGGTTGATATGCCGTAAAAAAAAAACAAACCAAACCAATTGTAGGCATTCAATAACCCATTGTGGTTGATATGCCGTAAAACAAAAAAAACCAAACCAATTGTAGGCATTCAATAACCCATTGTGGTTGATATGCCGTAAAACAAAACAAACCAAACCAATTGTAGGCATTCAATAACCCATTGTGGTTGATATGCCGTAAAACAAAACAAACCAAACCAATTGTAGGCATTCAATAACCCATTGTGGTTGATATGCATTAAAAAACAAAACAAACCAAACCAATTGTAGGCATTCAATAACCCATTGTGGTTGATATGCCGTAAAACAAAACAAACCAAACCAAAGGCATTCAATAACCCATTGTGGTTGATATGCCGTAAAACAAAAACAAACCAAACCAATTGTTGGCATTCAATAACCCATTGTCGTTGATATGCCGTAAAACAAAACAAACCAAACCAATTGTAGGCATTCAATAACCCATTGTGGTTGATATGCCGTAAAACAAAACAAACCAAACCAATTGTAGGCATTCAATAACCCATTGAGGTTGATATGCCGTAAAACAAAACAAACCAAACCAATTGTTGGCATTCAATAACCCATTGTGGTTGATATGCCGTAAAACAAAACAAACCAAACCAATTGTAGGCATTCAATAACCCATTGTGGTTGATATGCCGTAAAACAAAAAACAAACCAAACCAATTGTAGGCATTCAATAACCCATTGAGGTTGATATGCCGTAAAACAAAACAAACCAAACCAATTGTTGGCATTCAATAACCCATTGTGGTTTATATGCCGTAAAACAAAACAAACCAAACCAATTGTAGGCATTCAATAACCCATCGTGGTTGATATGCCGTAAAACAAAACAAAACAAACCAATCAGATAATATTCGAGATTTCTCTATTACAATTTCCATCGTCTGTAACAGACCTAATGTGTACTAATTTCTGAAAGTTATTATTGCTTCCATTTTTTTCAAATCAAAACAAAATAACCCATAATCTATTTTAATCATTCATCCTAAGCAAGGCATTGAAGTCACTAAACGTACGGGGTTACTAAGTGTTAGAAAATATGAGAAAAATACTATTAAGGAGAGAGGGCAATAAAAGAACAAGGATTAAGAAGACAGAAGATAACGATTTCAATGTTGACTAGGAAGCTGAAAGAGAATTCGACATCTTCGAGACTGTTATCATAAAACTTACAGTTACACTTTGCAATTCCAACTGCAAAATAATGAGACCTTTTCGCCAATCAAGTACAGCACTTAAATTCATAAAGCCTAGGTATCATAGAGAAAAGTTTATCAGAACAATTTCCGTAAAATTATTTATAGAAAGGCCACAGAGAAGGGCGGTGGGAATGTAACGGAAGCCGAGTTGACAGATCAGGACAAATAATATTGCAGATGCTTCTTTGAATTTTATCAAGAATTTATAAATATATTGCAGAGCACCAGACTAGATTTGGCAGCATTATTCAGAGAAAGATCAAATGATAGAGTTATAAAGATGTAAGATAGATCCTGTCGAGAAAAAATGTAATATTTTATAAAAATGTATCTTATATTAAAAAAGGGATTTTTTGCATCATGCATAGAATCAACCTTGTGTAAATATTTTTTTTCTTATTTTCGCATAGAAAACTTCACGAAATTCAACTTTGTTATTAAACTTAAGAAGGAAATCTCTGTCGGTTTCCAGTTGAATTTTTATTCACAAATACTATCAAGTATGGTACTCTATTTTGAACAGATCCTAGAGGAAATCTTCAGCACACTTTTTTGTGGGAGAGGGTGTAGCTCCATATTCCTCGGCTGGATTAAGGATACTTGTATCTCCTAGCAACCTGTCAAAATAATCTTTTCAATGAAATCTAGCTTTGGTTAAACTTTGGCAAGTGGGCTTGGCCGAGAAATTATCAGCACCCGCTCACACACCTACTTTAAAAAAGCTGATCTAATTAAAAGAGAAGGTTCTGTTACCACAATTTTGTATATTTAATAACAAAAGGAGTGGAAACATAAAAATCTTAATGTAACCGGCAAGATCATATAACCAAAACGCATATTAAAATAAAAAAAAAATATTTTAAATGACTCAGCGCCTTTTTTCGCTTGTGCGCATGTGTAGTCTCATCAATTTAAACATAGTCTGATGAAGTCCTGAAGAAAGAAACGCGTTACATGAAAACTCCGTCCACTTTTTCATACTTCCTTCCCTTAAAATCGTTCTTTATATATCACTATCCCATATATACGGTTCGTCCACGGTATGACGATGAACTACACCCGGTAGCAAGGCCTCTGATCGGGACGTTTTGAGAAACGTAGAGCCATCTCTTAATTGCTGTTGTTCCCAGGTCCCCGTGATCCGGGGTGGTAGCACATGTTAGGGTCCCATGTATGGGCGAATATTTAACCTAAAAACTGGGGTCAAAACACTATGAAAATATAAACATACATTTTTATAGTATAAATATCAGCAATACATTTTCGTAGTAAAAAAAAAAATATTACCAGCAATACATTTTTGAAAAATAAAGTATTGCCATACAGAGAGAAAAGATGGATATACAATGTGGACATAGGAATCAACAGCTGTCTGTCTATATTTCTGAGATGAGGTATTATGTACATTATTTACCTTATTCGGATTATTGTTCTCATCTTTGTCGCCATATTTATCACAACGTTTCGGCCGTTTTACGCTCCGGCCTTCTTCAGGTGGTTGGAATTTCGAACCACCTGAAGAAGGCCGGAGCGTAAATACAACCGAAACGTTGTGATAAATATGGCGACAAAGATGAGGACAATAGTCCGAATAATGTAAATAATGAATCAACAGCTCTTTATAGTCCTAAGGCGGTTTTATTTATTTTATTTGGTACAATTCTTTGTTTGTGATTCTGTAGCGCCAATTCACAATGTTCAAAGAAGGATGGCAGTTTCCAAGACCATCATGCTTCATCGGATCAAAGACATTTTAAACTATCGATCTAATAAAGCGGATTTAGCGCCATACATGACATGCATATGAAAGTCTCGATCCTATGAGGCTATTTTAAGGACATGGCACGAGTTTTATGGTTAAAGTTTTGGTTTTGCAACAATTTGCAGCATGGGAGTAAATACCTCTAGCGCAGCCTATTCTATGCTCAATTTCCTTTTTGTCTTATACGAAATTCATTATAACTGATCCATACGCCGAGGTATTTACTAATTCCAGATCCTGTATTTGATGGATCTCAGGATATGTGTCATCATTACATTCATTCCAATCCCAGATCCTGTATTTCTATGATGGATCTCAGGGTATGTGTCATCATTACATTCATTCCAATCCCAGATCCTGTATTTCTATGATGGATCTCAGGGTATGTGTCATCATTACATTCATTCAATCCCAGATCCTGTATTTCTATGATGGATCTCAGGGTATGTGTCATCATTACATTCATTCCAATCCCAGATCCTGTATTTCTATGATGGATCTCAGGGTATGTGTCATCATTACATTCATTCCAATCCCAGATCCTGTATTTCTATGATGGATCTCAGGGTATGTGTCATCATTACATTCATTCCAATCCCAGATCCTGTATTTCTATGATGGATCTCAGGGTATGTGTCATCATTACATTCATTCCAATCCCAGATCATAGTTTCCGTTTTGGAATGCTTTATCTTGAGTCTTTATAATTAAGAGAATACTAGACGGCGCCCAGTAAAAAAGCGGCAAATCTATTATCACTGTTTTATATTACAGGAATATTTGACGTTGAATCAATTTCTAGAATATTCATGACCTTGAATAAAGCTATTGTTTCCATATCACGCTTAAAACTTTGTGTGGATCATTCAGGCAAACATTTCGAACATCTACGGTTATTGTTCAGTTTCTGCATGAATATATTTATTTCTGAATTTACTGCTTTTTACTGTAATTCTGTCTTCTAACTGTTGTTACATTGAGTGCATGAAATCTTTATGCAATTTTAACAACTATTATGGCAAAGACTAGTGTCCGTTTATTTATCCAAGCAGACATTTTCCTCTATATACACACTACTTATAAGAGCAAAGTACTCTAATTTTGATGACAAATTTATTTTCCTAAACATTCATATAATCCTAGATTTGTTGCAGAATTTGTCATACTCATAGTTATCCAGAAAAAAAAAGCTCTTCGACAGAGTGTAACATTTAGGAAGTTTGTCTCGCTAGATCAGTTACGATTGAATAGTGAGTACGATCCTTACTGGGTGCCTCATACTGTCGGCCTCGTGCCACATCTAAGCTATGATTAGAAAATCACAATATTACCGAGAAAAAAGTTTCTATAAGGATCTTCGCGTCGTTAGTCTAAACGTAAATTCTGTTTCCTCGCTATCTCTTAAGAAAAAAAAACAGACAGAAGATTGAATTGCAACGGGTAAAGAACAAATAAATTCCAAGCCATTCGTCTAGAGTTTTTCAAATCTGGCAACAAAAAAAAAGTCATAGCTGCAATAAGCAAAAATCTCTAACGAGAAAAAAAACGAAATTTTGTTCGGTAAAGAAAATTATCATTTCTTCCCCTATTTTTTTTTCTTTTCACTTTCCGGTTAGTTCTTCAGCTTGCCATAAATTTGAATGATATTTGGTGTGGCCATGTTAGCTTTATATCTTTTCTTCAAAAAATCAGATCCCTATTGTGGAAAGAATGGCTCGGAGACTTCAAGAGAAATCAATGTGTTGTCCAGATGGAGAGAATATCAATTGCCTGCAAGGTTTTCACGTGATACACTTGCAAATGAAATTATTCCGGATCTAAGTATTTTTCTTCGAAATGTTGAAATCTACGTTTGCGCCTCGCTTGTCAACACAGATGGTTGGCTTCGCTTTGAGAAAACGTCTTACATTTCACTACTAAACAATAATGCTTCAACTCCTGCACAAACTATTTCTTCTTCTTCTTCTTCTTCTTCTTCTTCTTCTTCTTCTTCTTCTTCTTCTTCCAGTTTCTCCTAGATATCGGATGTTTTTCTCTGTCAAGTACCTTTCTTGGCAATGATAAATGCGTCGTTCTAATATAGACTAATCATCTTTGTTTATTTAGTACAGCTTAATATGGCACGTGACCAAAGAAACCAGGGTACAGAGATATTGTTACTTCACTGTTTGAAGTAAGGCGGTGGATAAATTTCCTACCTGGAAAATCACCATTTTAAATATTTCGTTTTTACTTCAGTTCGACAACTGGTCTAAAGAATCTGTGGAAAACACGAGTTTGAACATATTCGAAAACAAATATTTATATTGTTCATTCTTTCACCAATGACTTTTTTTGAATCGTGAGGCTTTGGGGAGTATGGAACCACCTATGAATTTCTGTTGTTCCCAGGGCCATCCTGACCCATGGTGGTAGCACCTGTTAGGGTCCTAGCTACAGGCAAATAGTAAATTCCCAAACTGGAGTCAAAATATTATAAAAATATAAAAATATATTTTTACAGTAAAAATACAAGCAGTATATTTTCATAGTAAAAAAAAACAAAAAAAAACAAAACAAAAAAAACGAAAAAACAGCAATGCATTTCATCAAAAAAAAATTAACAGGAAATATATTTTCAAGGAAAAAAAATTATCATCAATAAATTTTTATAGAAAAATATTACAAAAGTACATTCTCATAGAAAAAATTGACAGATATACATTTTCAAGGATAAAATTACTATAATAACATTTTCATAGAAAAATTACCATAACATTTTCATAGAAAAAATTTACCAGAAATACATTGAAAAAAAAAACAAAAACAAAAAAAAATAAAAAACAAACCTTCCAAGATAAATAAATTTCGGCATCAAATAACACATATGGTGTTAAAAAAAATCATCAACCAACCAATGATCTTTCAAGTTTACAGAGTGTAGAAAAATACAATTCAGCTCACTTTGGTTCTTCTCGAGGTAAAGTACTTGTATAAATATCGAATAAAATGTCAAACATTAAGAAACAAATCCATTTTATTCCATTTCGTCTGTTCAAAGATGACATACAAAGACCATCTTACAAGATTTTTTTATTAAGTTTTTCTAATATTCTTACAATATTCAGGGATTTTTTTTGTTTGGTGTTAAGAGCTTAGCAATTATCCCTAATGATTATTATCAAGCGTTTTCGAAGAATGTTGAAGAATTTCCATACATTGACTTCAAATGCATCTGCTGAAAAAGAGGTCGATAACCGAATCAAGGCCGCTCACACATAATGCAGGAAGATATTTAGAAGAGACTTCAGCAATCCTGAGTTAACCCCAACCATCAAGCTCACAGTCTACCGAACTGTTGTACAGCCTGTGAGAGGTGGGGATCTACCGAAGGGAAATCTGCAAACTTGAATGATTCCATCAAATAAACCTACTTCAAATCCTACGGTACCGGATCACAAGCAACGAAGTTCTCATCCTCGCAAATATGAAGAGCCTAGAAACCATTATAGGTCCTGCTATATATTTACTAGAATAATGGATAGCGGCTCGGATTGAGGAATTGTTCGAAATCCTGACGGATCTATTACATTCTCTTAAGTGCTTTCTTTGGAAAAGGTGCAAATCCTCTTCTTCTTCCTATGGGTAAATAGTAGGGTAGACTGGGTTCTATAGCCTTGGGTGGAAGCCGTTCTAGGAGAAAATAACTCTGAATTCAAAAGTATATATATCCCTGGCGTAGCACATACAATACAGCTAAAGAAAGGATCGTTTGCATTGATTCGATGATCCCGACGACGGTCGAGTGATGGTGTTGATATATTTATAGATTCTTTACAAAATCCAAAGAAAATAAGCAATCTCGTCTCCAGTTACTTTCACATCGCTGTATTGTATTTTCCCAATGCCTTTTCTATAAATACTTTCATGGTATAGCCATGATTTCGGATGAACTTATCGCTATGGTACCTAGACTTTGTAGATTTTAGCGCAGTATTAGATTGGCGGCAAGGTTTCATTATTTCACAGTTGAATTGACAAGATGTAACCTAACCGTAAGTTCTATGCTAACAGTTTCTTTTCTCGTTAACGGCTCCATGTTTTCCAGCCAGGCTTTGATCTTCAAAAATGTAAATGCAATATCAAAGGTTATCTACTGTCTTCCGGATTAACCTTCTATTATTCGCACTCCTTGGTAATCTTTTCTAATTATTTCATGCTCTAAGGATGCTAAGGGTATCATGAACCGATCGTGTGAGGAACGATGAGGTCTTAGAAAGGATGCAAACAAGGCTTATACTTAACATCAGGAAGAGGCAGCTGAAGTTCTTGGGACACATAATGAGGAAGGAGTTCCTGAAGAATCTGATACTCACGGGTCGAATAGAAAGAAAGAGAGACAAGGAAAAACAAGCGTGGCTTAAGCAAGTGGATGACAGAACGTGGTTTGAGGGAGGAAGCAGAAGGAAGGAACTTGTTGAGAGCAGCAAGTGATAAGGAAAAGTGGAGAGCCGTGATCGCCTACGTTCTGAAAGAACATGGCACATAAAAAGAAAAAAAAGACCTTGTGTTTTACTGTCTTTACTATCATACTGGTGAATTTGATTTAAAAAATAAATAAATAGGTGCCTAAAAAAACTTCTTTTTTTTATCTTGGGTCTCAGGTAAAAAAAAAAAAAACTTGCAAAATTATTGTATCGAATAGAAAAACACAAAGAAGAAATATAAATTATTAGTAGCAGTAGTAATAGTAGTATGGCATTATCTACAAGCGTCTCTTTGCTTTAGTGATTGATTAATGAATTGGAGATGTTGGAAAGAATTCCAAGCGAAACAAATCCGTTTAGAATTGCCTAAGAAAGAGAAACTAGGTAAACGAAGAACGGCACACTAACACAGAGATTAATCCGATGCTTATCGTCTTTCTAGCAGAGTGATTTTATTTACTGCCATTACAGTTTGACGTCCGATTATCCTGGACATCAAACAGAGCTTGCTCTTCAGTAAATTACCCTAGCAGATACGAGCTACCCGATTCCACATAGGCGGTTATCAGTTCTGGAATAAAAGCGTTTCTTTTCTTTCCTTCCTGTTCTGGAGAATTCATTTTACGGCATATAAAAGAACAAGCTTATAGGGTTTCATTATAACGAGTCTATTAGTTGAAGCATTCGACAATGTATGCAAAAAATGAAAACCTGTCTGTCATGCCTCTTAAATCCTAGACCTAACCATCATGCTAAAATGCTTAGACATCTGTTGAGCGTTTTGCGATTTATTTAATACTTCGGATCACTCACATGCTCTTCGTCTTCGTAAGAAGGTAGTTTCTCTCAGACAAGCTCTTCCCAAGAAACGGCATTTTATGGAACAGATTCTTACGTAGTTGAATTTTTGAACCCCACAATTCGAAACTCTTCAAGTCCAGGGTCAATCGCTATCTATCCGCATCATCCTCATAATTTTCATTTCTTACTTCCTCTCCTTAGACCCATACCACGCATCTTATATAGTAACCCTCTACTTTGCGTGGCTCTTGGGCTTGGTATTTCGTGAAGTTTAGTTTTAAACAAATAGAGTACTCCTGTCATATCTGGGGTGGAACTAAGCAGTCCTGGTTTCGACAGAATCCCAAATCATTTTGGCAGTCTCAGAAGGGGAGGAATTTTCTTTACGCTGGAATACGCAGGCATAATATCGAAAGCGTATTGCTAATCTATCCCTATTTCCAGGGTAAATATTCCGATGAGCTACATTCTTTGCTGTCACAGACAGAGCAGACCTTTGAAGTCAAGAGCCACACAGCTGCTTCCACAGGGTTGAATCACCATCATTCTCTACGTAGTCCATTCATGAGAAGTATGTTTCACTCAGAAAGCTTCTTCCGAAGAATTGTCACTTTGTGAGACAGGCTCCCGCGCGATTGCTTCCCTGCAATCTACAATTTTAACTTCTTCAAGTCGAGAGCCAACCGTTATCTATCTTTCTGTCCTCATAATCTTCACTTCCTACTCCCTGCCCTTACGTCCATACCGCATACCTTAAGAAAGGAATCCATATTGAAGACTAGATTTAGAATCCTGAAATGTTTCTGTCCATTTATAAGCTTCTAGCAAATCTGTTTGTAATTAATGACTGTTGTATAATTATTAAAACCTTTTAAAATCTGAACAAATATCTGCAATGTAAGCAATCCTGACCTGGCATCTCGACTTCAGTCATTTTCGTAGCGCCCCGACGTGCCTTCACTCTTTTTCTATAAATATGGTAATTGTTCTGATGAGCTTTCCTCCTTGGGTATTTATACGTGTGCTAGTGGATTGGTAACTAGGTATCTTTGTTTAATTGTTGTACTAGCTTCATGTAACCGCCAGTTCTATTCTAATAGTTATTTTAATCACGCTTCTAGCCCGTGGAACTCTCTTCCGGATTCTTGTTTCTCTGCAACCTACAATCTTCCAAAATTTTAATTTAACGCCAATCGCCGTCTTCTGTCTTCATGAAGGCTGTTCTTTTTATTTTCCTTTATCCTCACTAAGTTTTTCCCGTTCGGGTTCATTCCCAGTAACTGTTTGCATCTTAGTGACATTATCGCTTGTGCATGGGCGAAATCATTTTTTTTAATCCGTTATGATAACAAAACTTTGGCTTGTTTTGAGTCATGCAAAACATGCTTTGTTTCGCACCAATAACTCAGCTTTAATAGTAGTGAGATCAGGTTGCTAATGATTACACACCGAATCTATCGTCAAGCAAAGAGGATCAAACAATAAATTTATTGCTGTTTATATTATTATTATTATTATTATTATTAGTAGTAGTAGTAGTAGTATATATGATAGCTTTTGTTCTAAATATGACAGGCCTGAGTATGACGATAAACTACATCCGGCAGCAAGGCTTCTGATCAGGAGGTTTTGAAGAGCGTAGAACCACCTCTTAATTGCTGTTGTTTCTAGGTCCGCCCTAACTCGAAGTTGTAGCATCTGTTAGAGTCTAAGTTATAGACAAATAGTGAAGCCCCAAACGTAAAAAAAAACACTATGAAAGTATAAAAATACATTTTTATCATTAAAATACCAGGAATATATTTTTATTTATAAAAAAAAATGACCAACAATACACATTTTTTAAGCAAAATGACCATCATACAATTGCGTTCAAAAGATATTTATTTGAAGCCATAAAACTGCATTCAAATTATTTAGATTTCGGCATTAAATAACCCATCGTTGTTGATATGCCGCTAAACAAAGTCAACCAACGAACTAAATATGATAAAATACACGATTTAAAAAAAATCGATCGCTGTACTTAACGTAACAAGAAAAGATCTTATAATGTTGTGTTTAAAACACAAAGAATTGTTGCACCTGTATCCATGATAACTTAGAAAACAGAATAACACCAATGCAGGAATTGTCTAAACAGTTTTTACGATGTAATAAACATTTGTGCCTGTAGCTGCTTCGTGCGTGCAGATGGATAGGTGGGTGGGTATCAGAGTGAGAATGTTTGTCTTCAGCTTTCAATTTTGCAAATGGCGAAACAAAAAAACAATGGCTCCGTCAGTTTGCTGCTGGCTTTGTTACAGGTGCTGCGTGGCTAGTGGTGCCAATCCTGCATATAATACTGATCGTGTTAAATGATAAAGAAGATTGCTAATTGCAAAGGAAAGGAAAAATATAGACTTGTATAAGCGACATTCACTACTCTACACTTGGGAAGTGTAATGTAAAATCCTAACTGCTGTCATTTGCTTATATTCCGACCATTTATCTCAGAATCCATCTCTTTCTCCGCCGTCTCTGTCTATGCATCTGGCAAAATGCAGTGTCAGATTTTATTATGCAGATCAAAGCATTAAAAATGAAGCAAATTTTTATACATGCATATATATATATATATATATATATATATATATATATATATATATATATATATATATATATATATATATATATTTACGAGGGGGATTGAAAAGTAACTCCCCATTTTGAAATACTTTATTTATTATCTATTATTTTACAAATATATATAGGGAAACGTTTATCATGGAATTTTTTATCTAAAATTCGATATTGGGACAATATTTTGTTACCAGCTACTCGAGCCGCCCAGGAATCGCGTCAACTGATTTTACCAGGAACTTTTGTGGCATGGAAGACGTAACGTCTTGTATTCGCCCTTGAAATTCTTCCAAAGTTTTGGTTTAGTCTAGTAGACTTTCTCCTTTAATCAACTCCAAAGTCACAGTGTGTTAAGTTTCAACTCCTGCCTGGCCAACCATACATAAAATAAGGATTTACTTTTAAATCACCCTGTATATATATTATAAATAGTATATGCATATTCGCAGTATATTCTTGAAGTTTCAACTCATAATATTTGGTTGGAACAAAAGATCGTAGAATTTTTCAATAAGTTGCTTATGAACATGGTTTTAGCATTTATTAATTCCAAATCCTGAATATTTATGATGGATTCGGAATAGGTACCAATAGTGATTTCATTCCAACTCCAGATCAGGGTTTCTGTTTTGAAAGGTTTTATTTTGGAACACTTGGTAGAGGAAGTTGATTTTCGGTTCAAGATCATTTTTGTCCCATTAACGAATACCTATGTCATCAGCATCGTTTGTACATTGTCCTTTCTTCTATATTTTTACAACCTTGCATATGTGGTGATGACGAACTGATCAGCAGATCCTGAATATTAGTTTTTAAGGAAAAAAAGTCGATGGTGTTCGTGATTTGATTGAGGCAGAACCCTAACCGCTGAAATAAACAGCTAATACTCTCGATATCACAGGTAGTTCACCCCCTACAAATGTTTCTGAAAAAATAAATTTTGCTTTTTCTCTTAAAGTGGGATTCACCCTATACAAGGCCCGGGAGCCACTCGAGGTAGAAGGTTACAGTGCAATAGGCACAGTTAATGCAGTAGTGTAGGGAAGATAACGGTTAACCCTAGACGTGAACTGGTTTAGATTGTAGTGATCGGGAAGTCGGACCCACAGAGCAGTCGTTTGCGTAAATAAGCTGCTTGAATATCCTTCTCACCAATACGGAGGGAATGTTCGCCATAATGCGCCTAGAAACAAGTTACGTAAAATTTCTGCTCGGTAGATACCAAAACTTGTTTGAAAGACTTGGGAAGATGTTGGTGATTCGAGAAAAGTTTATAGAGATAATTGTCTAAAACCTAAAGGAAACAGAGTTGAAGATAACAGACGAATTGGCAGATCATCAATGTCAGTTTGTAAGAAAAAATATCGGTGCTGTTCGAGATTTGATTGAGGCCGAACGATAATTAACCGTAGAAATAATACTTAATACTCCAGACACCATAAGTAGTCCAGCCTCTTATAATTTTAACTGAAAACTTCAAGTTGAGTAAAACTTCTCGGGACTTACATAAACTATCAGGCCGAGATCAACAACAGACAAGAATACCAAAAATATTCCATGAATATTTTAGACGAATGGGATAAAAATCTAATTTTAAAGAAATAGGATAAAATATGTTTACTGGGGCGAATCTTAACTGGAGATGAAAAATTTGTTTATCACAAGATTCATGAAGACTAAGTTCAGACAAGGCAATAACCGAGTTCGAATTCCAGTCGAGTTTCGTTATATCCGTTAACGAGCAAATACTTTTGGTAATGACATAAATCCATCTTTGAATGGGTTTAATATCAGGGCAGACTGAGTTTCTTCAGACTGGGTTGAGAATCAGTCAAATAGAAAGATATATTTCAATTAAAAACCGTATCTAGAGCTGGATCACTGGCCTGAATGATCGAGAAATCTCATTAAAGAAAAGATTTCTATTCACCGGCAGGATTCGACCCTGCATCACCTAGAGCACGGAGAACTACTATTAGACCTAGCACGCTGTAACAAACCGAGCTGCAGAGAACCTGTCGGACCAAATTCAGACCGGTAGACGAAAATAAATAAATATACTATTTAATAAATAAACGGAACGTCTACTCAGATACGAATATCCACTAAAAATAACGTTTAAAATGATAAACAATCTATCAGATTAATAAAATCCATTTATTTTCTTTAGAAAAAATGCTTTGTTTACGTTTGGATACGAAACTATGCAGATATGAAAAAATTCGGGTGATTTATATTGAGAGAAGTATCACTTAAAGGCACACACATACACAGGCATGCACACACACACACATATATTTTAAATGTAAACACATTGAAACTGAATTCTTTTTTAAAAGCATCAAATGTTCGTTCGCGATAGAAAGAAATAAAAATTTTGAGAAAGAAATGTTAAAAAAAATGTTGTAATACAGACAATATCTGTTTATATTTCTCAGATGAAGTATTGTAATTATTTACACTATTTACATTGTTCGGAATTAACGACACAAAGCCCAGTGGATAAAAGAGTTGGTTAAATTCAGTGAATTTGATCCAAACAGTTGTGAGTTCAATACCTGGCTACTACTGTGGTGAACAAAAACTGGGAGAGTTGAATTAAAGGGAGATAACTGTTACATCCGGAAGAGGCATGGCACATTGAACTAGAACAACCTACCCCTAGTGAACGAAATAAAGGGTTCAGTTCGAAATTCCAAAAATCTGAAGAAGGCCGAAGCATACAACGGCCGAAACGTCGTGAATATGTTAATAAGGATGAGGGCAACAGTCCGAACGATGTAAATAGTGTAATTTAGACATTCTAAATATTCAAGCGAAAAATGCACGTGAAATAATCCAACCGCTTTTTAAGGGCACAAAGCCATAATCCTGATTGCATAGTTAAAGGATTCTTTCTATTTTTTTTTTTTGTTTTTTTTGTTTTTTTTTTAAATATTAGAATGCATTTAAAAGATATCACAGCTTCCATTACTTTTATATATTTTAATATAACATTTTCTTGAAATGTTTACGACATTTACACAGAACTATTTTGGTGCTAAATTGACTTGTTGTTTACAAGGAGAAATATCTACACCGTATAAATTTTATTTTGGAATGATATCTATTGTGTAAAACATATTATAGCATATACATAACAAAGAAAATGAAATTAAAATATTTAAAATTTTTCTTTTATTTATATTCTAGCGATATTCTAGCATAGTAACATCTACATGCAAAGCAAAACATATATATATATATATATATATATATATATATATATATATATATATATATATATATCACATAGAGAAATGTATTTAAAATAGTACAAGGTTAGGGTTAGAATTAGAGCCAAAATAAATTCATGACACGTAGATAACAAGCCAAAGTGGCATCACTATTTTTTCTCCTGTCAGTAGCATGAAAATAACTCTAAAAAAGCCTTTTTGCAATTTGAGCGATCAATATCGATTACTGATATCTGTTAGTGATTTTTTGAGAGCAGTAAAACAGTATTTATAGATGAATGCGACTCATTAGCTCTGTGGATTGGGCGTAGATCTACTTGTATTTAGTTTTAAGATTAACTTAAAAAGTTATGATTATGTAATCTAATAATCCCCAAACGTTCAAAATATGTGGTTTCATTGATTGTGACTAGAAGGTTTTTAGAAGTTGAATTCTTACTTAGGGAATTAAACATATATATCTTCCTTGAAAAATACACTTGGATATTCTCAAGACGCATCTGTATACGTAATTATCTATCTATCTATCTATCTATCTATCTATCTATCTATCTATCTATCTATCTATCTCAGCTCTGTTCATATCTATTTCATTCTGTTTATATCTATCTATCTATGGTTGTTTATATATATATATATTTCTAGCAAGATTAATGCTCGACAAATGTACATATAAGTTTTAGATCAAAAATAAAATTCTTTTCGTTTTTCATTCAAAATACTCAAATTTTAGGAATACGTTTTCACAACATCGCCCACGTGACGACGACGTGATCATATTTAAACGGAACGCTGATCTTATATAAAATGTTTCAGTTATCTGCTTGGATTGGTATTGCTTTCATGTCCATCGTCTTTTTCATGTTGAATTGTATATGGTCTATATTAATTATGTTTTATGAATATGTCCTGAAGATGGTCTATTAGACCGAAACGTCCGACGTTGACATTAAACATTAAAACAGCATAATCGCATATTAGGATTTTTGTTTGTTTTTTCAGTATATTTTTCTTTTATACTGTCGGATCTATATCCATATATTTGCTATATATATATATATATATATATATATATATATATATATATATATATATATATATATATATATATGTGTGTGTGTGTGTGTGTGTGTGTGTGTATGTATGTATTTAATTTTTTGAAAAAAATATCGACAAGTTCTGTCTAAATAATTTTATTAACTTTTTCATATTTCCGTTTTTAGAGATTAAATTTTTTTTTTTTTTTGCCTTTCTGTAAATAATTTTGGTGAATGGTAGTATTTCTTACCATTGCTGAAATCAATTTCAAGTCTCACTCAACGCGACGTTATTTATAACGGTCAAACTGAATTTTTATATGTATTTTAATTTTTCTTTTTTTTCTTCATTCACGTTTCAATATATAATCTTAACTTCAAAAGCACTCGAGAAAAAATAACTTTGGTAAATTTACCGAATAAGACAACTTATTCGGAAACTTGAAAAAGTCAATAAAAAATTGGATAGACACAACTTGTCTAAATTATTCAACTGCTGTCATGTACAGACAGGAGCTTCACAGTCTTCCCTTTCCAGTCTCGATAAAATCCAAAAGCGTCTCCGCGTTCTTGTGGATGACGACTTATTTATCTGTAGCTGTTTCCATGAAAATGTCCAGACGAACTGCATTCCTTCGTTCCACCAGTTCACATCTTCCCAGCTAAGACCTCTGCCCTGCCATGCATATTGTAGCGAACCATTCTCATTACTTTCGTAATCCTTTGGTGAGATGTAAGCTCCATTCGAGTAGCTACTTAACACAAATCTCTGTTTTGTGGAACCGACTCCCAAGAGGATGCTTCCCAAATACGGCGATAATAACACTAAGATGCAAGGGGATACAGGTAGTGAAAGAGAAGGAAGCGGAAACCTAATCCGAAACAATAATTTTTTTAACTCATATATAAGTTTTCATGTCTATATATCTTACGCTGTTCATATCTGTCTGCTTATCTTACAAGCTGTTCACATACATACATACATACATATCTATCTATCTATCTATCTATCTATCTATCTATCTATCTATCTATCTATCTATCTCAGGCTATGTACACACACAATCTCCTCATATCTTTCTATATATCTCTCTAGCTTGCTAGCAATGTTCTGTGTATATGTGCATTTCTTCATATCTATCTATCTATCTATCTATCTATCTATCTATCTATCTATCTATCTATCTATCTATCTATCTCAAAAATGTACACACAATCTCCTCATATCTTTCTATATATCTCTCTAGCTTGCTAGCAATGTTCTGTGTATATAAATTTGATAGTTTCATATCATAATATCTATCAACTTATCTATCTATCTATCTATCTATCTATCTATCTATCTATCTATCTGATAACCCCTAAATTGTTGACGCACAGGTCATTCTATGAATCTCTGGATATCGTGATAATGAAAGTTTAACATCAATCAGTTAAATGGCAAATTTTACTCACATTAATATATCCTATATATACATACATAAAATAAAATATATATATATATATATATATATATATATATATATATATATATATATATATATATATATATATATATATATATATTGAATATATATATATATATATATATATATATATATATATATATAAATATATATATATGTATGTTGGTAGGTATATATATATATATATATATATACAAACACACTAGATATTTTATAGCCTCTCTAATAATGTTTCCTTTCACAAGCGTATGTCCTTATCATTATTTGTTATTTTAAATTCCAAACATGAAAGCTGATATGATTCATGCTACTATCAGCAAAGACAACTTGCTCACTCATTTCTTCCCTCTGACCAGTAAATAACTCACAGCATATAATTCGGATCCGTCAAACTGTTAGCATTCAGCGGTCGTCTGCCTGGAGTTCATTGAAAGGACCACGGAAAGAGACAAGTACGTAGGGAAGCGTAAAGAAGCCGAGAGAAAATTAGTGGAGCAAGTATTAATGATCCACTAAAGCGTGAAGTGAACGCACATTTATTTTCTTCGTTGAATTGTCTGTTATTTTTTCTCATTCTGGACATTTTCCCTATTATTTTTTTTTTAAATCACTTGAAAGCTTTCAAAATAAATGTGTGAAAAAGGAAATGTTTTTATAAAAATGAAATAGTTTAGTAGTTAACTACTTAATTTGCTAATCTTTAAGACATTTTCTATGTTTTCTTTTCCTGTCTAAATTTGGGGAATCGTGACATTTATGCCTGAAGTTTAAAGTTTGAGCGAGACAGATCCAGTCACTTTCCCACTGCCGTAAGGTTATCTCTCTGTGTATTTTTTATAAATATTTTCATGGTAATTGTTCGAATGAGATAGTCCCGCATTGATTTCGGCCAGTGAAGTGATGTTTCTGTCACATTTAGCGATTGTGGGGGACTTTTATTACTAATCTTATTTTCTTTAGTTTCTTGTAAATAGTTTTTTTCTATTCATATTGTAAATACTCATTGGGGTTAACTTTTAGATTTGTTGTTTTTATCCCCTTTCCTCCCCACAGACATCGAATTGTAAATATGGGGACTAGAAAGTATATTTTCATAGAGACAAAGAGGTATTATGGTGGTTGTAGTAAGAAAGTACGTATGAATGTGTTGTTTTGGTGTAAAGGAATATTGTTTCGTAAGATTGGGTCAGTGTTTGCGGCTAGCTAAGTTATAGTTAAGGCAGAAGAAGACCGTCCTTTCCCCAATCCCCCCTTTTCGGCCATGTGCCACATTTCTGTGTATTTAACAGAATAAATATCGCTCTTCACTATTGTACCTAGGTTGTTTTTTTTTTAAAAATTAAGCGCAGCACGAGACTAGCGTCGAGATCTAATCATTTTACAGTTAAGCAGACGAGATGTAACCACAAATTCTATGCTAACATTTTCTTTTCCTGCACTTCTCCCTTCTGGCTTCATGCTTTCCACTCAACTTTAATCTGCAAAAGTTTAAATACAATGTCATTCGCTATCTACTGTTTAACCTTTCCTCTTCCTACCTCTCTAATTTTTTTTTTCTACGAATATTTCCCGGAATTGTGTATACGGCCAGGCATGTTTTTTTTAATGCCTAAAAATGTTTCTGTTCCTAATTCTTCCATTCCATGTAAGTGATTATGACTTTCCCCAATTTCCTGTTCTTCGTAGCTTTTAATAAATGTGCTCTTTTTGTTATTTCAATTAAACACTGTTGTGTCATCCATTTACTCAATATCACTAAGTATTTTATGCCTTGTTTTTCCTGTGTCTATGAAATCTGTTTTAGCATCCTATATATATATATATATATATATATATATATATATATATATATTATATATATTTATGTAGCATTTTTTTTTATTGATGCATATTTCATTAAATAGTATAGACATGTTTGCGTATTTTAAGTAAATTCCTTTCTTATTCTCTGTTAAGCTTAATAACATTATCATTGAAAGATGAAAGAAAATCACCATATTGATATATGTTTTTAATTCTACCTAAGCTTTCCGCTTACATAAGCCATTATCAAAGATGACAATTACATTTCAATATATTAAACAATACCCGGACAAAACAATAATGATACTATTTTTTTTGTTGCATGAAAGATTTCCAAGAAACGTCAAACTCGTGTATACGAGACGCGGGTCGAAAATCGCACCGTAGCTCCTGACGTCACACATGGAATGTGTGTGAAAACGAGTGAAAACGAGAAGTATTAAGTATGGGAAGCCGTTGGTATAAAGCAATGGCTTCTGTTATCAATTATAGGCATTTAAGAATATTTGTGGAGATTTCATACTTTATTTTGTTCAGGTTATGTTTCAACTGTTTTATGTATATAGCTTCAATAATTTTTAGTTTTTGTTTATTGTTTTCATGTTTAAGTATAGTTTTTTTTTTACGAGTATTTTCCGGAATTGTGTATGCGGCCAGGCATGTTTTTTTTAAATGCCTAAAAATGTTAGAGTTATCATTCAAATGTAGAGTCAACCGTCGTGAAAGCGAGTTTGTGGTGTGACCAACATAAATATTATTTAATCCATTAAAGATACAATCTCCCAAAGGGCATATGAATTTATAAACTATGTTGTTTTTTTTTTGCAAATCGGTAACGGGGTGGGGGGGGAATCATTGCGAATAATTGAGTTGGATATACTAGATTTAGTGTAGTAAAAAAAGAACATTAATCGCACATTGTTTATAATTAAAATGAAAAAAATAAAAATGTGGTAACCACTATAATAATGTTTGAAGTAATAAAAATGTCGGATTAAAACATAATTCTGTTAATTTAGGTGTGTTCGTGAGATAGCTGGAAAATGAGCATAGCATGATAAAAACGGCCTTCAACTTGACGAAAACAAAATTTCATCGTCAAAATGTTTATGTTACTATTAAAAGGAAAGAGCAAAGTAACTTTCAATTATTTAAAAAAAAATTTCTGTCTTTATTAGAACATTCTAACTTTTGACTGAAAAAACTTGTTTTTCTTCATCACCGGAACTACTAGTAAATAACATGGCGAATTTTTGTGCATTTTTTATGACAGACATTACGTTTGAAAATCTTGCAAAAATAGAAATAATTGTCAGATATTTATGAAACTTTCAGAAAGTATTCGGGAATGATGGAAATTGTTATAAATATTTTATTTTCTTAAGTCATGATAAAAAAATATACTTTATATATATATATATAACCCCCACCCCATAAATAATTTAATGAAAACTATAGAAATTCAATGTTTAATTAAAAACACAAGACTTTGAGGAAAATAAATCATATTTGTTTTTTAAGAATCCGGTCTCGTCTACCTAAAATCAGCTCTGAATTGTAACATAAAAATCTCAATAAAACAAAAGATATTATTTAATTTTAAATACTTTTAGTTGCTTTTATTTGTTTTTATGAATATGCATAATATTGTCTGAAGGCAAAAAAAATATTTCGATGAAAAATGAATTTTTAAAAGAATTAATTATTTCTTAAATTATTTTATTATTGTTACATTTTAAAAAGTTGTTAAATATTGTAAAATTAGTGGAAATGTCAAATCCTTTACCTAATGTTTTTTTAAGTACATGTATCTGTGCAGCTTTTTACAATTCACGAGCCATCAGTTAGAAAAATCTTACAGTTCTTTGCCTTTGTGTCAATAAAAACGATTATAATTCGAATGTACAGAATGCCGGAAGAAGCATGATACATCACCTGACTTGATTTTGTATATAAAAGTTGTTTGTCACTGTTAACGGCCTTTACATTTTTACATTTACGATTGGGGAAACATGTGTGGAAAGGTTTTACTAAAAAAAAAAATTGAGCTATATATCATCCTATATACGGCCAAGTAGCAGCATAAAATTTTGAAAAGTAAGTAAAAATAACGAGGTAAATAAGTTGTTCACGTAAAGCTAAACTGTCACTTGTAACCTTCCGTACTATAACTTTTCCTCACGTAAGATGACAGTTGTCAACACCGCTGTTAAGACTGGCTTTCTCGCATTTTAAAGTGCCTTTTTTCAGCGCAGAGAGTAAGTAATGTTGTTTCAAAATATATTAAATGAACTTTATGATTTCTAAATTTATTTAAATTAATTTAAAAAAAAATCCTAATTGATTTTTAAAAGAATTTTAAACTGAGACTTTCACTTTTGTAAACAAATTTAAAAAAATGGCTGATGATCAATTTTGCTGAGTCAAAAATACAAGATTTTTAACGAAAATTTTGGACGTGCTAGAAATGATTAAAAAATGTAAAAAAAATAATCAAAAAATACTTTGATCTTTCCTCTAGATAATAACATAAACATATACGCGATAAAATATTATTTTCGTCAAGTTTAAGGGTTTTTTTATTCATGCTATGCTATTTTTTTGTGGATCTCATGAACATACCTATATAATTACTTCTTACACACTAAAAGAGTGGATGGTTCTGCACAAAACCTTCACTACTATCATCAATTTATGTGTAGTGCCTGGGTTGTCAGTTCCTACGAACTGAGCTGCTTGACCCTCATACGTCGAATACGACGGGAGAGTCCACCGTATATATATATATATATATATATATATATATATGTGTGTGTGTGTGTGCGTGTGTTTACTATGTGCAATGGATAAATTGTAAAAAAAATTTTCAAAATCAAAGGAAAAACGCTGAAAATCTCATTTTAACAAAAATTTACCAAAATTGCAAAAAAAATATCAAAAATCATGAAAAAAGTAAATTTAAATAAAATCGCCATTGGCTTCAAGCATGGCCTCCAGACAACTTCGGAATCTTCTGCAATTCTCCTTGTTTAAGTTGGTTACAAGCAGTTTTGTTGGTCTCTCGCTCAATTGCGCCACACACATAATGATCAAGGGGGTTGCAGTTTAAGG